TATATTAAAAAAAATTCAGATTTGTAATTTGTGTAAGTGATTTCATTTACCTTGACCAAAAATGCCAAGGGTTGCACGAAACTAATCTTGAAAAATGGTGCAGTACGTAAAGTATGGTAGGCACAATCAATGAAGTTTATTAATTAAAGGTGGTACGAAGACAATCGAATATTGAGTGTGCCTACTGAAAAGTTCTTGGGTTGTCAACGACAATGACTTGTGATACGTAAAGGGAAATCAGAAATTTTTATACAATGTGAAATTGATTTTGTGCCAAGTAGTTGTGTATAAAAAATTCTTTGCGCTAGTTCATTTCTGAATCAATGAAATTGGAAAAACAAAATAGTCATGCAGTTAATAAACTATGTGTTAAGAAAAAAAAACATGCAATTGCCAAAGGATAGAATTGTTAATACAACAAATGTGTTCTACGGATTTGGAATCGGGATAACAAATTTTATTGGTGCCCACTAATATAGGTGACACGCAACTTGTGACTCATTTAAATAAAAACGGTTGAAGAAAAATTAACGGTAATTTCTCTGGCCTGCGGCAATGATTTGTATTTCTCTTCGCCATTGTTAATTCTCTTTTCTTTTTTTCTTTCTCTCTTTTCTTTTCTTTTCTTTTTTTTTTTTTATAAAGAAAACAAATTCGCCTATCTTTGATACAATATAAAAAAACATTGTTAAATGATATTCATGAGAGGCTATCTCAATTATGTTCTATATCATCCACTTTGCATTGCGATTTTGTTTGGTCTAATCGCGTGCATTGAGTCATCCTCATTCACCCCTTCACCTCGGTATTCCGCAAGTTCAATATTAGTTGACACAAGATTGTATTTCTTTGGGGGACTGGCTAAAGATCCGGATGGTACAGAAAGTTGTCAGAACAGCGTTTTCTATCTTGACATCTCAAATTCTTTTAGCACCAACAACGTAACTTGGATTGATCTCACAACAACGGCCAACATACCAGAGAGAATTTGTTGGCAGGTCAACGGTGGTGGAGTTAATAGCTCCATCGTCTATTTATTTGGAGGAATAACCCAGGATAATTTGACCAAAAAAGTGATTTCAGACACCTTGGTATTCGCATTCGACACTAAAACTCAAAAATGGACAGAACCTTCAATCACTGGAACTCCTCCAAATAGAAGGAGAGAACTTTCAGTGGCTCAGGATAATTCAGGAAGAATGTTCATCTTTGGCGGGTTAACTGACCCCTTGACAGGTTCACAATCCACAACTTTTTTCAATGACATGAACATTTTAGATGTTTCAAATTTATCTTGGTTATTTGTCGTGACTTCCGGTGTTGATATTCCCCTTCCCCAAGCCGATTTCACTGCTACTATATTGCCGGATGGTACCATCTTGTATATCGGCGGAAAGCAGACCTATTCTGCTTCTGGAACAAATGTTACCTACAAACAGATGGATCAGGTTCACATAAATTTATTTGGGCAATTGTTGACTATATTTGGAATTTTAATTTTTAGTTTGTCCATCTAGATTTGGACTTATGACACAAAAGAAGGTTATTGGAAGTTGATCGTAAGAATAGAATCTTTCCTTTTTCGGATGATCATTCGTCGCATCGTTTACTGAATAATTTTTTAAAAAAAGATCGCCGGTGGAACGGTTCCCGGAGTTCGTGCAGGTCACAGTGCGGTACTCGGTGAGAACATTGATCTACCTTTTCTTAATGAGAAAGAAAAAAACCAAGTGCAAAATGTGAGAACATTTTACATTTCATAGCATCGGATGGACATATCATTGTCTATGGCGGTATAGGCGACGACCTACTTACACCGGCAAGTCCGGATCTAGCAATCCTCGACACTTCAACTTCGTCATTCCAATGGTCAACTCCGAAGGTCTCGGGTGCCCCACCCCCTGTACTTTCATACCATTCTGCAACATTAATAAAAAATTTAATGATAGTTGCTTTCGGTATCTTTCATTCTCCTATGACCTGAAAGTGTTCATTTTTCTCTTGTTTCAACAATAAATCGAGATTAAATTTTTAGGAAACAAAACTCGGACTACATCACCCGGAGCATCGTCCGAAATTTATATCCTCGATATCACCGGTTATACTTGGACAACCGTATTTAAACCTCCAACTTCCTTGGTTGACACCAATGCGAATATCTATGTCGCCCAGTCCAGTAGTCTGTCTACTGCCACAAGTTCCGACAGCACCCAATCTAGTAGTCTACCCACTGAAACACCTACGAACGGCCAATTCATATCTATAAACCTCGCGTTGATACTGGGCGCCATTATCGGCGGAGTTGTCAGTATTTTAATATTAAGTACGATATTATTCTTGCTGTTTCGACATTGGAGAAGGTATAGAAAACTTTATGGAAGCAATTTACCCTTTTCGGATCCAATAACTCCCCCTCCGGAATTTCAAACACCTGATTTACGTCAGGGTTTGGGATTTGAGCTTACACCAAGATAATGTAAATTTTCTATTTTATAGATCCCATGATAATAATTATTATATTGGCAAATCCTCCGAATAATGCTTGTAATTTATATTTTGCTGAATTCATTAGGAAAAGTGTTATATACAGCATGTTTAGTTGTCTACCGGTGTTAATTTAATACGAACAAAAAAATCCTTTGTAATTAAATATGTAAATGTTAAAATTTCTAGTGAACATATTATAAAAATACTGTATTTGCAGTATGTCACAATGTCACAATGAAATGACCGACTTAAATAGTTGTGTTCACGTGCGGTAAATATATTAATTGCAGTATGCCGAGGAAAAATTAAAATGGAGATTTTTTTTAAAAAAAAAAAAGAAAGAGATTTCCACATAATCGTCCATTAAACAAGATAAGAATTTCCACAAGGTTAAACTTTAATGGAAAATTATGAAACCAATGGAATGCAGTCTAGAACGTAACGACCCAAGTCGATAGATTACACATCAATCCTATGTCAAGAGTCTATGATTCTTGCATCAATAACTTTAACGATTTTATTCTTCTTAAAGGATATTAACAATTTTCATTTGTTCAATTAAAATGGCAGATATCGTTATCGTTAAAAATTCACATTACTTGATTAATTATAAAATACCTCGACTAGTTTTTCTATATAAATAGAACAGACAAACATTAAAGTCTATGAAGACCGAGTACCAGGCGGTCAGAATAGTTCAATAGTTTACACGATTCTATCAAAAGGATACATCATTAGTCGGATCAAATGTAATCGAGTCTAAGAATAAAAATTACCTGAATGTCCGAGATATAATCTTTTAACTTTTCACCACCTCGTTCGACGACCGATTTTATGGTCTCATAATCAGATGCCGCCTGTCCGATAAACTTGCGAGCAAAATCCCGTGCGTTTAACTCTATACCACTAAAGTCTAAACTTTCCCGCCGAGAGAGTTGTTCTTCGTCTTTTCCAAAGTACTGACTTGAGGATATAGAACTAGCACCTTCAAATTGTTTAAATCGTTCAGACGATTCGGATAATGTATCAGGATCATACTGATTTCGACCGAAATATTGATCGGATGAAATAGCTTTTTGGTTGCCAAACTTTTGGCGAGCGAAGTCGGGGTCGGATAAAGAGGCTAAAAAATCCATGGCCAAATAATGTCACCACAAGAAATACTCTCGTTTTAAGTAAAATAATATGAAGGACAATATACGCACAGTTATCTTCCTGTTTGTTTGAAATGTTTGAACCCGTGGAACCAAATCCTACGAATCTCGACGAAGTTCCTACAGGTTGTTTTGATGTAGAACCACTAGCCACGGTTCCGAAACCTAGTCTTGAAACACCCATACCAAGCCTCTCGAGATCATCACTCTGGCGTTTTGCGGCAGTGTCTTTGCTTTCCCCCAATGATTGTGAACCATCGTTGTACACTAGACGAGAGCTATATGTCCAATTGTTATCATCATAGTCACGTGCATCCGATTCTTCATCTTGCGGTGACTGCTGTTTAATTAGTTTTTCTTCATCCTTGGCTTTTTGCTCGGCTTCTTCGATATCAATCTTTTGAAGTTTTACTGCACCCAATCCCAATTTTGATTTTTTGGGAGCTTTTCCACGAGCAGAAATATTCGATTTAATTGTTGGTGTTTTTACAACAGTTTGACTGCTGGAACTAGATGTTTTGTTTACTGCATTTCCCGTAATAATTCTCACGGATTCTTCGATTGGTTGGGACTTTTGAACCGTTTCTTCAACAAATTCGTCACTTTTACCGGATACCGAAGATGCTGGTTGTTCTTCAGCGTGTTCGACAATTTCGAGATTTGGATTTCTTTGAATCGAAAATTGACGGTGTTAGAGACAGATTTCAGGTTATTAATGCGAATGACTCAAATCACCTATTAGCATCTTCATTGGCTCGTTTGATGAGTTCGTCTTTATATTTCAGGGCAACACGAGATGTATATTTTGATTTTATATCTTTATTGTTCAATGAAACAGAACCAGCATGCTTTGAGAAATAGTCCAACGCTGCAGCATTGCCGCCCACTTTCATGATTCGTAGTTGATCCCACGTCCATGAATCCAGAGCGATCGATCTGCATGCCAAAGAATTTATAAATATATGTGAAACATTCGTCTTGCTGACAGGAGGTATGATACAACCTGACGAAACTGATGTGAACACCAAGATTTCTGTGGGTAGAGGAACAGTCGAGACAGAGGTATATGCCAAAAGTAACGCTTGACCACGAAGGATTTTTGGCCTTACAGTCGAAACACATCTATTGCAGAATCGAGGTCAGTGAGGAGTCAAAAAGAACTTTAACGATAAGTAGCACCTTGTTTGCTCGCTGAGAGGTAAGTTTCTTGAAGATTTCGTCAATTTGAGCTTTGGTCGGTTCTGACATTTTGACAATTAAAGAAAGAGAGAACAAGCTCCTCTAAGGCATAAAGTTCGTGGCTTTACGCCCATATATGGGTGGCCGACGGTTTAATTTTGGCCGTGCACGTAAAACGACTCACTCGTGTAACATTCAAACATCAAAGCCAAACTCATAGTCCGATAAAAAAAGCATTTAATAAGAAATTTAAGACAAAAAATTCCTCTATTTTTATATTTTTATTGTTGATAGTAATTTTTCTAATCGTGCATTTGATCTCTACAACGGATATCATCACACTATATCAATATCAATCAATATTACCATAGAAATTTGATGAATATCGAGGAACTCATTAAGGAAAAGGCTAGTTGTTTCAATGCAGAAAGGCACGCTATTTAAAGCCGGTGATAAAGGAGCTAGAAGAATACCTGAGCAAAATTGTAATCCTAAAACACTTACTAGTAATGCAACATAGTGCTTATGATTAATCTTAATTCATGGAAATCTAGAAATCAAAGAATAAGAACAAGTTCAAGTTCAATCAATATACTATATAAAAATTATTTTAAATATTTATAAATTGTTTTTTTTTTAAAAAAATTTAATATATAATAAAAATAATAATAATTTAATTAAAAAAAATTATAGCATTTTATTGATCTTATCAAATTTGATAAAAAACATGTCATTTGAAAGTCAACTACATAAATTTGACATATAAAAAATTAATATAATATTCTTTTTTCATTTTATTTAACAGTTATCTCATAATATTTTCTTATTGATTATATTAATCTGATTAAAATAAATCAAGAAATTTTGCATTATTTCTTTTTCACAAATAGTATTAACTGACTATAATATTATGGAATTCATTTCTTTATATTACTTTTAACAATTGGTCACAAGTTTTTAATATTCTTTATAATAAATATTTAAATATTATTTTTTTTTTTTTAATCCATTATCAAGCTGACATGGCTTATCTTTATTGTGTATTTAAAATATTATACAATTTCAAAGATTTTCACATGACAGTTTACCCATTTTAAAAGTTTAACTTCTTTAGATACAACTTAAGAGATAATATTTGCTCTCTTAATAACTTGGATTATCCTTTAGCTATCAAGTTCATTGCTTACAGATCATCACTGTAAATCATACAAAATTCTAAATATCAGATCAAATATCTAATCACATTCCCTCTTTAACTATCTATCTTTCAATAATCTCCTTGAGATTTATATCTTTTGATTGTTCTTCATGTAATATCTTATCTAATAATAAACTATTATCTTTCTTTGGATTTTTTATATTTTCAAGCTTGTTTTTTGAAACTCGATGTCATTTAGATCTCCTATCAATACTCAAAGTCTTTTCTTATTCAACTACTACTTTGCAGCATTCATTCCTGATCTTTTTCTTGAAATTTTTTCACATTTATTGACACAGTCTTCCTATAGCTTTTTTTGTGATAAATGACTTTATCTTGTAATGTAGTTTAAGGAAGTCTTCAATATCTTTTATTTTGTCTTTATATATATAGTATATCCATATATTATTTTAAAAAAACTCTGTTTCTGTTGCTGTATCTCATTGAGCCATATATCAACTACTTGATGTATAGCTTCTTGATCTTCGTCCTTGATCTTCACTTAATCCGTAATATATTGGACCAACTTTCTACTTGCTTCTTTCCAGATGTCTATCTAGTCTTTCGAAGCTTATTGCTGAACATAAGAACAGATGATCAGTTGTTTCTTCATAAGCTTCACACCTAATACAAGTGGTTGACTTATAAACTTCTGATTTTTACTTTTTAAATATCTGTAATGTCAAAAGTTCATCATGAGTAAGATTTATTAAAAAGCTTTTGTTCTTGTAATTCTTAAAGGATGTATACAATATATGATGAATATTAAACTGGCTTCAAAAAACTATCCAGTTTATCTTGGTTTACTCTTTACTTTATCTATTCTAAATACATTATTGATTACTCCAGTCAAGATTAATCTTTTTATAATTCCATCTATTGATAAACTCCCAGATACCAATATCAATGGTCAGGTCTTTCTATGTAGCTATAAAGAAGATTGCATCCATTTCTAGTGTGTGTTGCCATTCTATTGAATTTTTTTTTTTAGCTAATTTTGCTAGTATATCTGTCATATTATTGAAATGGTTTTCTTTATGTACATAGACTTTTTCTAGTGTTAACGTAAGTTTTTTTTTCTTAACTATATTTTTTATTCTTGTTCAAAATGGTCAGTTAGCTATTTTGATCCATTTTCTAAATGACATAAGTGATTGTAATTGTATGGTATTCCATATTTTAATAGCTACTTTGCAATCTATAAAAATAATAATATTAACATCTTAAGGTAAAGTTTAGAGTACTGTCAATATTGCTAATATTTTTGCTCTTATTACTGAAGGCCATAGCATTTCACCTACTGAAAATTGATTGACGATGATATTGTCTTGAGTCTGAATCCAAGTGAAACCCATTTAACACTCTGTTTCAATATCTCCTGTTTCTTTCTTAAAGACACATCAGTATAGAAAGTAAAGTTTTTATGTCTATTGTTTTGATTAAATCTAAAAGCATCAGTAAGTTCTCTAATATGTTCTTTTGAGTAAATGGCTTGCTCTATTAATAAAATATGTCGGTTTTCTATTACTACTTCTTTATATGTTGTTGCTATATTCAAAGTGTCAAGTCTATATTGTTTTAAGTTATCAGGTATCCAATCTATTGGATTGTCAGGAAGCAGTAGTAATTTTCTTATCCGTGTACTTTTAGACTTGTTAAGTTGAGACAAAAGATATGTTTTTGAAGATGAAACTATTGTTATCGACTTGAATAGATCTGGATGACATAGGGTCAAATTATTAGTATTATTATAACTGAGTTGGTATAGAGTAAAAATTATATTTTCTTAAGCTTTCTTGACTTTTCCTATAATATTTTTTGATAGATTGATAGTGATTCCCCAGTAAGTCTTTCCTTTGTCCAGTATATTTGATAATTGTTTTATTCAGATTTCATAGTTGTACTATTCTAAATTTCTAAGTGAGCTTCTAAGCAAATCCTATTTTTCTGTAATTTGAGAAACAACTTGCTTATACCTTCTGAAAATATGACCTTTTCTATTTTCAAAAAATATTTGAACTGCTCCCTATTCTCTAATTGTTCCTATAGTTGGATTAACTAATTGATCCAAAAACATTATATTGTATTTTTTAAGAAATGCTATACTATACTCTTTATTTACTACAAAATAATATTTACATATGATATAATTATATGATAAATGTATTATAAGATATATATAAACTAGCTTAATAAAAGAGGGTATACAATACTTTTTTAATTTTTTCTAAAACAATTTTTAAAAGTAATTTAGTTATAAAACTATTATAATTCTCTATCTTATATTATAGATTTTAAGTACTTCAGAGTAGTCCACGAATTTCTTCTCCTATCAAGGTTTATTGATAAATTATTGTAGGCAAAGGGCATATGTAGCTAGACATCCTACCAGTTAGCTGTTTACTTCATTAGTACTTTATAAAATTAGTAAAATACTTTTGTACTTGTCATAGAATTCGGAATCACTCATTGATATGCTTAAACCATCCTTTATGAGATTATTAAGTAACACTGATAATGACTTCAAGTAGTTTTGAAACTACATATGGTTAAATCAAAAGAACCATTGAATAATGTATAATTGTTTATATCAATTATTATATTATTTTTGATAGTTATTTGGTAGTTGTCAGATTTGTTACCTATACTCTTGATTATCTTTTGGACTTCCCTTTCATTGAGATTATCATAATCAGTCATGATGATATGTCTTGAGGTACCTAATCCTGGATTGTCCAAAGTGATAGTACACTCATTGTCAAAGATGATGGCCTTCTGTTTCACTTTTTTTGCAAGATTTTTCAGATCTTTCTATCTCTAATGTTTTATGTTTGTGAATACTATTATAGTGTTTTTTCCATTTGATGTAACTGATAAAGCTTTCACTGCAAACAGTACATATACATACTTTTGCAAGTGGAGGTTGTTTTGATAAAGGTTGTTTACTTGCTAGTTTATCTAGTTTCTTTTCCCCTTGAAGTTTTCCTTTTTGAGAATATCTTCTTCTCTTCTTTTTAGATGAGCCTGGGTTAGGTTAAGAAGAAAAAACTTGTCATTTAGAGTTACTAAAGCAGATAGAAGAGGTCCTTCCAATCTATTTAGAAAAGTGTTCCTTAGTCTGAGACAACTGTTCAGTTGGATTAGAGTATTTGAACATGATACTATAGGGAAAGCTAATCTCTATTATGATATTAATCATGTTATTGTTGTATTGGTTAGAGATAAAAACTTTTATCTCTCACTGTTTTGAAAAAATTCCTTATAAGAAAATTATTTTATCAAAAAGTGGTCAATGGAAAAGAGTTGTATATTTTAAATTATTATTTTATTATAACTGTTATTAAATTTCTAATATATTATTGATTTTATAAAGATATAAATAAAATATTTATATAAAAATCATTGTTTATTATTTTTTTAAACAAAACAAAATAATCTTTCTTTTTTATAAAAATTACTTTAAATAAAAACTTTTATTAATTTATAAAAATAATATAAATTAGTTATAAATTTTAATATTGTTTTAAAGTATTCTATAATAAGTAAAAAGTCATCTTATTAATAAAAACAGTACAATTCAGTTGTCTAAGAAAAAAAATAATATTATTAATTACTTATCCAATATATTTTTTTAATAAGTTTTATTATAATTTTTTTTAAACATGCTAGCTCATTCCTGCACTAGCATCGGAACCTTTATTAATTATTAAGATAAATCCTAGGAACAACTGGAATAAGTAATTACCTGTACTGTCTAAGGATTTACAGATCAACGAATAGTACAAGGGGCATCTATTTATGTCTCACCCAACCAGGATAGGGGAACTATATGATCATCTAATATAGGATTTTTTCTTAATTCTTAACAAAG